TATGTAGATGATATGCTTATCATTGGTACTGATATGTAGATAGTCACATCTACGAAGAAGCTTTTGTCAACTCAGTTCTGTATGAAAGATCTTGGAGATGCTATTGTAATTCTTGAGATCAAGATCTTTCGGTCAAAAAATAGGATTGGTTTAACTCAATCTCATTACATTGAGAATACGTTGAAAAAATATGGTATTTTGATCTTCTGGAGATTTTGATACCATATGACTACATTAAGAAGCTTCAAGCCAACTCACGAAGACCGATTAAACAGCTAGAGTACTCGATGATCATCGAGATTCTTATGTACACTATGAGTTGCACAAGACCAGATATAGCTTTCATTGTTGGAATGCTAAGCAAATTTACAAGCAATACTGGAAAGTTATTGGGATGCTATTAAAAGAATGTTAAGGTACTTGAAAGGGACTATGATCTAGGCTTATTCTTCTCTAGATATGCTGTAACAATAGAAGGCTTTTGAGATGCTGGTTGGTGCGCAAATCTAGGTGAGTGCAGATTTATAGAAGGATTTGTATTTACTATGGGAGGTGCAATAGTCATGGAAATATAAGAACCCGACAATTATTGCACAGTTACCCATGGAGTCAGAGTTTTATGCTCTGTCTACAGTAAGAAATGATGTTGAGTGGCTTAGATACCTCATTAGAGACCTTCCATGAAGGAACTACAAGGAGCAGTGAAAACTATCTATTGTGATAACTAATGAGTGTTGTGGTAGCAAACTCATTGTTCAACAGAAAAAAGCAAACAAGTCATCTAGAGCATGATTAACTCAATGAATTAATCAATAAAGGAGTCATCTCAGTGATCGACGTTCGTTCTCTAAAGAATATTGTTGATTCTATGATGAAAGGTCTGAAGAAGGAATTGATGGAGAAAATGTCTGCTAAAATGGGTCTTAAAGCTATATAAGTTTTATTTTAATTTTCTTTGTAATCGAATTATTAGTTCCGAGCTTAGCTAGTAGTAGTTAGACATTGGTTCAAAAATAACAATGAAACTTGTGTTTATCCTACTATGTGGAGGTTAGTTTTAAAAATCTTAAGAGTCCAAGAGATTTCAGATGTGGTAGGAACATATCCAAAGGACTCAACTATGTTAAGATGGAAGTTTGGCCGTTCCTATTAAGTCTTAAGGTAAGATTTCAAAATCCTAATTAAACTAGGAAAGAGCACATGGACTAAAACATGCTAATCTTTAAGCAAAGATAAGTGATTCAAGGTGTTATTCCCCACTATTTGGTTTTATCTATGTGATCACTAAATTGTATTTATGTGGTTCAAGACTGAGTTCACCATGCACTCAACTACCTTTTAGTTGATCTAAAAGAGGATTCAAGTCTATACATCTTCCTTATGCACATTGGTTAAAACAATGATAGTTTGAAATTTGTAGGGAATTGTTAGAGTTTTATGTAAAAGTTTTCTAAATGGGCTAAGTTTCAAACTACATATATTATATTATGTATTTCAATTAAAAAATACACCAAGTGGTAAAAATCTTTTTGAACAAATCAAAGGTCATGGGTTCAAGGCTTGCTGAAGGCAACCCTTAACTCATTTTACCTATCAATTCTCCATAAATTTAAATTTAGACTCGGACCTCAGATCAAATCGGATCTGGTCGGGTTGGGTCATGGATCAGACCTTATTAGGTTGAGGTGCTATGATGTTGCAACGGTTGTTTTGTAGGTGCGCTTAGCATGTTGGCATCAGGGTGCAGAGGTGGCGCCCTACTGATGCACCGCTAGCTGCAACTCCAGCCTCTACGCAGGATGCTTCACAGCATACAAAGTGGTAGAGTCCGACCTAAATACGCGTCTCGATTCGGACTTGGGCCTTTTTTGATGGAGTTCCACTCAATGACACCTTTCACCCGGACTTAGACTTGTTAGAGTAGTTGGCTTAGAAAACAACTAGAGGGTGATTGTTGGGCTTCTAAATTGATCTATTTAATGGGCTCATTAAACAGACCGGTTAATGTAACTAATGGGCTGAATGAGTGTAATTGATTTGACCTTTTAGTTGCTCTCATTAATGAGACATTTGGGTTTCTCTCATTAATGAGCTAGCAACTCTTAGGCTGGGTCAAAGACCTATATAAAGCTTTTTGAACAACACCAGGGCTTTTTCTCAAAAGTATCATCTAGAAATTGTAGTGCTGATTTGAGTCCAATTCTATGCGAGGTTATAGTCTGAAATCAGATCAAGGAGAACGCCTAGTGCTTGTACTTGATTAAGGAGATCGTTGAGGGTCTGGTTGGTGCACGTCAGTACACTCAAGTTGTTCCTGTAAATAATTTAGGTTTGGGATCGTTGTACCAGAGTGGGCTAAATCTTACTTTAAGTTCAGCATTTTAGGACGCACAGGTACTCAAATCATTTTTTTATAACAAGCATTTCAGGAAAGTTCATATTCCCTGTCTTGATTTTTCCCTTTTGTTCTAGCAAAACTTTAAACTGACATCTTCAATGAATAAAAAATTTGTGGATTGTTACATGAGAGCTTATCCTTTTCCCAGAGAAGACATGAGATTGGTGCTATATAAAAATTGGTGGCAAGAGAAATTACACGCATAGGTGAATTTGAGAAGTGGCACACAATGCATAAAGAATATCTCATACATTAAACAATGATATAACTTTTATGGTCGTGGATGTGCAAAAGAGTTGATGCTGGAGCAAACAATGACAAATTTTCACTTTCAGGCTCTCTGGATTGCACGCATAATATTGACTGTTTTAGTCATAGCTTTCTTAGGAGGTTCTAAATGACTATGCATTTGAAGCATTAATAAGATCAATGAGTCTATTTTCTAGTAAATTTAGTTATGCGTGAATTAGAGTTCTCTGGTGAAAGATATCTGCAGAATATTCAGAGCATATTTGGATTTCATTAGCGGTAGGGAAAGCTAAGGGAAAATAAGGGATAGAAGATAAGGGAATATCCTTCTCCTAGGGTCTGCCCTTTTTTTAGGGCGGGGGGATATTGTATTGTTGGGGGTGGACCTAGGAGAACTAGGGGTACATTGCACCCCTTACGATATATCCAAACAGGGTGAATGGTCTCCCCTACCTTCCCTTCTTCCCTATTCCCTTCAATCCAAACAAGGCCTAAGGGATGATGCATTTGGATTACCTTGACTTTTATGTTTTCTAGGATATTAAGTTAGTCAAATATGTCTTTTAGTATTTCAATATCATTTAATTGCCATCTAGAAGTATGAAATCTCATGCGTGAAGGGTTGTTTCAAGTTTGTATATATCCTTGTGTTCTAATGAAAAATGTAGTGTGTTGAGTTTGATTATAGTTAAGCCTTGTGCTTTGAGTTTGCTCTACATTTCATTGGTGGATTCTATTGAGTGTGCGTTTATCTGTATTTGTACGGAAGGGTCCTTCGAGTGGTGACTTGTCGTATCCATGTAGTCGTGTATTTGTATCTCTAGATTAGTTGGCTAATCCTATTTATTAGTCATTTATTCTATGGTGGTCGTTTATTCTAAGGTGGTTTTCCTACATCTTTAAGAGCATTTGAATTGAGATGTAGAAACCTTACATTAGAAGGAAAGAAAACAAAATGTAAATTAGACCATAAAAAAGAGGCTTAGAGGTGGATAACATCTTTTGTAGGTCATTATATTAAGACAGGGAAGGAAATACTCACCTTGATGGAGGAGGCAGGAACCTATATTGCATGGGGTTTTAAGTTCAAGTTGCGATACCTAGACAATAAAATGTGTTGCTTCTAGAAAATATTACATCTCTACATAGAAAATAATCCTCAAGTGATCGACGCTTACGATGTGCTACATTTTAACATCAAATACTTAGGGTCCTTTTGGTAGCCTGTTGCAAGTGTAGTTGCATGCAACTACACAAAAATTGTAGTTCCATACAATTGGGCCATTTTTGTCTAGTTGCATGCATCTGTTTCATTACAATTGGTTACTAGCAGTTACAACTGTAGTTGTAAAATCACCTTAATTGTAACTTTCGTCTTGCGGCCATTTTGGGCTGCAAGTCAAGATGCTACAAATCCATTTAAGTTGCAATTGTAGTTGAAACAAATTATTTGTCAAAAAGTTTATTTTTAAAAATTACTTTTCCAAACAATATTATTTTTTCAATAATATATTTTTTTGAAAATTACTTTCTTTTTCAAAAATATTAATTCTGGAAAATATTATTTTCTAAAATTATTATTTATTTAGAAAATATTATTTCGCCAAAAAAGTATTTCTTCGTAAACTATTATTCATTCATAAAATATGATTTTTCAAAAAATTATCATTTTTCCAAAATTATTTTTCTCAAAAACTATTTTTTTAAATAAATAATATGTTTTTAGAAACCATTATTATTTTTAGAAAAATAAATATCTTTTCCAAAAATAATATTTCTCCAAAAGTATTTTTCATAAATATTAATTTTTAATAGAAATATTATTTATTTATACGAAATATTTTTTTAAAAATATTATTTTTCTTGGAATGTAATAATTTCTCTCATTTTTAGAAGTATATTATTTTGTTTAAAAATATTATTTTACTAGAAAAGTTATCTTTAAATAAATATGTTTTTGATAAAGTATTGTCAATTTTTCCAAATATTATTTTCTAAAAAAATTTTAAACAATATTTCAATAATATTATTTTTAATTATCAATTTTAATTTTTTTTAAAAATAATTGAAAAAACAAGTTGCATATAAGAAGTTACAAGCAAAGCCAATCTGCTGTAATTGCCCATCGTAAAATTTAAAAATTGAACCAAACAATTACAACTGTAGTTGCATGTAAGAACAGTTGCAACGTTTTAGTTGTATGCAAGTTTCAGTTGCATTGCAACTGCAATTGCAACTACCAAATGCCTCCTAAATGAAGCTCTGAAGTTTCTTTATGACCTATAATTTCTACCCCAAAATACTTTCCTAAAGATTTGAAGCTTAATGAACTTTGCATCCTAAACTGGCGCAGGTTGGCAGTGGATCTGTTGTTGTCCATAATTCTGATGGAAAAGAAGTTGAATCTCAGCTTCTACCTCTAGTCAAAGCTTCAGCGGCCATAAGACGCCGCTACGTCAAGGCATATTTAGGCTCATCTCCTAGCACTACCCCTAAATTTTGGCTTGTTTTCCCAGTCTCTGTACCACCTGTTGGTTTCAGTACATACTTAGTCTCTAATGCAAAGAAGACAGGTCAGTTATTTGTTTGCTTTATTTGCATTTTGGTTTTCACTGAGGTATGAAATGACTTGTTTTACTAAAATTTGGTATGTACACATGAAAAATATAGGCTCGTCTGCTGCAGTGTCGACCCTACACTACTCAGAAAGAAGTCCAAACAGCCCTGTAGAAGTTGGACCAGGAGAGTTGAAGCTTTCCTATAATGCAGAACAAGGGAAACTATCTTATTATTCAAATATTAGAAGCTCGGTATGTTTAAATTCAGTTTCTATTTATGGTTATACTGATAATGTAAACTTTTCCTTGTCACATAAGATACATTCGACTTATAGCTGGCACATAGACAAAATGAAATGTTTCTTCTACCAATTTTCAACTTTGTTCCAATTTCCCAAGGGCTTTACTTGGGGATTCTCACTGATTTTTTTATCTCTTAGCTGATTTTTTATCTCTTAGATCCTTTTTTTTGGAGTCTCATATGATTTTGTTTCCTCTTAAGGTGAAAGCAACTATTGAACAGTCATATAGTTATTATGTGGGAGATAATGGAAGTGGTATTGATCCACAGGTAGTCTATCATTACTTGAGAGACCTTGTCTGATTTCATTGGTGAAATGTACTGTGTTTATCACAATATTATTTTAATTCAAACTAAATTACTTAACAAATTTTGATGCATGTTACAGGCTTCTGGAGCATACATATTTCGTCCAAATGGTACGTTTTCTATCAAGCCTGAAGGAAAGGTATGTTTGGGTTAGTTTTTGTGGCCTAGTCTAATTGTGAAACTAAATCCTCTAATTTCTTAAATTTTATTCTTCCATCATTGAAATTTCCTTTTGTGGCAAGGTTTCTTCTACAGTTCTACGAGGGCCACTGTTAGATGAAGTGCATCAGCAGATAAATCCATGGATATATCAGGTGGTTTAGTCAATTTATTACTGTTGTTGATAGAACTGTAACTCTCTCTAATGAATATAATATTGGACATATAATGATTTCATTGTTTTCCTATTTTATTTCAAACATCAAAGGTAGACCCACAAGTAAATCCATCTGCCTTTTTACTATACTCACCATGCTTGATCGACAGGCAAAACTGACAAAAATCAAATGAAAATATTCGGAATTAATCTACCAATTTACAAGTTAGTTCTGGTGAGGTCTATGTTAGACCCTAGAGGGGGGGTGATTAGAGTCTTATGCTAATCTAATCCGATTAAATGCCAATTAGATGATCTCCTCAAGCTCTTGTGGAAGTGATTCACAAAACCAAAACACTCAAATGCTTAAAAGCTTATAAACACACTTAAACCAAACATAAACCCTTGATTAAAACTTTCTTAAACTTGTTTTTAAACTCTCTTAATTTTTTTGAAAAGACATCAGCAATGGGGTATATATACCCTCTCAAAACTCAGCCAAAAACACCCAAAACAAAAGACAGAAAAGCCTCCAGAAATCTGCTCAGGAAATAGCCGTTAGGAGCCAACGGCTCTTTTGTCGGTCGACCGAAAATCTCGTCGGTCGACCGATGGAAAGCATTCGGTCGACCGATGGCAAATCCGGTCGACCGCCCATCGTCGGTCGACCGGTGCGGTTGACCGATGGAGCTTTCGGTCGACCGGACCGGTCGACCGACAGACTCTCTGTCGCCCAGTGAGAATATGAACTCAGGTTCGGTCGACCGGTACGGTCGACCGAAAACAGATATGACAGAAACTGAAACCTGTTTTGCTGGTTTTAAAATGCTGTTTAAAAATATCAAATAAATTCCAAAAAATGTAAAACTTTGGGGAATGATTGTAGACATGATAATAAACATGCTACAATGACTGGTTTCGAAAAAGGACTTCCCAAATGAAAAATATCATCATTTTGCAAAATAGTCCAAAACACGAAAATGTAAACATGTGAATTTTGACATTTTGGCTAAACCAACTTTTGAAACTTTACAAAATGATTTTATAGACTTGAAGAAAGATGTAAACTATTGTTATGAAGTCTATAAACAATGAATGTAGTATTTTATCAAAATACACATATAATGCACTAAAACATGATTTCATTTAACTAACTAAAATTGATATTGATGAAATCATATATATGCATATGAGTATGAAACAAAAATATGTTTTCTAATTATATTCAATTGTTTCATAGTAAAACTTGAAAACTATCAAACCAAAACGTGTATGTGTGTATATGATTGAGCTTAAAGTACTAACACACATAATATAAATTCCTAAACTAAATTACCCAAGCAATGATCTTGATCTTCAATAAGCTTGACTTGGTAATCTCGCGGATGAAGCTTGAACTAGATCTTTAACTTTGAATTTGCAAGGCTTCACCGACATTCCGCCAACCTCCATTTGATATCGTCGTTATGGCGCAATTCATCCATCCTCCAACTACGTTGTTTGTCTACAATACATAGGAATGCACAAACACTAGACAAACAACATTAGTAGTAAATTGTTTGTAAATCATCATCAAAATAAGAAGGTCAACAATCTCCCCATTTTTGATGATGACAAACAATTTACAAAAAGGAATATATGCATGAAGAAAATGAACATATACAAGATAATACACATGCATATAAACAAGGAATTGTATACTCACAATATTTCTCCCCCTTTGACAACATCAAAAAGGGAACAAAAGAATTAAGAGAGCGAAAGCTCCCCCTATCAATAAGCATAGGTGAGTATAAATCATAAAAAGATATAGGGATTGTTCCCCCTATCAAAATGCCTCATGAATGTATGAAATGAAGATCATGGCAAACATATGTGAGCAAGCATAAAAGATATGCTAACAATCACTCACATTCAAGAGATAATGAGAACACATAATGATATGTCACGATAAATATGTGTCTCAAAATACAAGCCTAAAAACCATGTATAAAAAAATAGATTTATGAAATCAAAAGAGAGAAAAAAAACATGAGAATCATACAAAAAGTTTTCAAATGAAAACAATTCAACCAAAAGAAATCATAAATCAAAGTTTATATTCAAAACAATGTTTGATCAATAAAAAAAATTTTCTTTACATAACTTGATCAAACCACTCATAGAATACATTATAAAGCACGAATAGATGATCCATTAGCACAAACACATAAATATCATCATATAAGTGAATTATAATGAATTCAAAAGCAACAAATCAAAACACAATTTTTAAGAGAGGCAACAATTATATCAAGCTCTTGAGCTTGTTCCAACCCATATAATCATTTTAGCATCCGGTAAACTTGATTTGGGAATAAATCCGGAGGGTTATATAAACACAAACCTCTCATCAAAATCAAGACTAATAATTATGAAAACAAAAGATTTGATAAAAGAAAAATTGTTTTCATAACAAAAAGATTTTAAAACAATTTACAAAACAAAAAATAAAAACACTAAAGTTCTTGGTTTAAAATCAAATTTGTTTTTGTACCCAAGTATTCTTGGTACCAAAAGATTTAGGGACATGACCCCTATCATTCAAGCTCAAAGCCCTAGGGTTATGAACCTTCTTGGGCACATATGGTGCACTAGCACGGTCAAAACAATATTCATTCAAATGACCATTTCGATTGCAATTCGTGCAATGAAAAGAGTGAAAAGATTTGTGTTGACCAAGTGAGCGTGCACGGAAATCATTTGCAACTAAAGATTGTCTTTTAAATTTATTTTGCAAATGAGAAACCTTATTAAATTTGGCCAAATGACCAAATCGACCACAATGATCACATTTAAACACATGAGCATGCTTATGATGAACATGATGAGTATGTGCATGTGTATGTGAAAAATGTGATGATGAAGCTTGATGAGATGCACAAGAAGGATTAATATGAGCCTTAGAGGGTTTTTGTGCATCATAGCAAAATCTAGCAAGATGGCCTTTACGACCGCAATTTGTGCATTTGTAGACTTTGCTATACATGTGTGCATGATGAATAGGATGTTTAGATGTTTTAGCATGAGATTTAGCACACATGTCCATAAGCTTGTTATTATTGACAATGCATGATTTAAGAGTTGAATCTAAAGATGATATTCTATTTTTAATATTATTCAACTCATCATTAGGCACATATGCATTAGCATTAGAAGTAGAACATATATGATCATTTGTAAAAGAATTAAACTCATTTCTAATGTTCTCTACTTCTAATATGGCATTGTTCTTAGCATGAGATAAGCTAGAGATGGATGAGGTCAATTTTTCATTTTCCAAATTTAATAAGTCATTGTTTTCTTTAAGCATAGTATTTTCTTTTGCAATGATATCAAATTTGGAATCAATAAAATTGTTTTGCAATTTTGTATAGGCATGAGATAATCTATCATATGCACAAGCGAGTTCATTGATGGATATATCACTATCGGATTCCGAATCGCTTACCACACTAGGGCTATCGCCTAGTGGCCGTGTGCATGATGATGCTCCACACTCACTTGAAGAATAATCCTCCAAACTACGTCGGATTTCCTCCAAGTTGTCTTGATGTGCTTCTATGAATTTCCATAAATTGTAAGCACTATTAAAATGAACAAATTTGTTAGAAAAGGATGAGTCAAAGGCATTAAGCAAGTATTCTAACAAAAGCTTGTTCATATTAAACATTCTTTTATCATTGCTACTCCACTTAGATTTTTCCGAAGTGGGTATAATATAAGCATTTTCAATAACTTCCCATAAATCGGATTGTTTAGATTTAACAAATATGTTAAATCTAGAACACCATTGGTCATAGGGGAGATTATTTATTTTAGGAGCAATAACAGTATCATAGCCTAAACAAGATGCACAATGTATGTCCATAATAAGAAAATGTATGCAAGCAAGATACAAATAAAGCAAAAAAGAAGATTAGCACAATAAGCTAACTTGGATCTTTAACTTAAGGCGATTAGACCTTAAATCAAAGAGCACCAAGCTTTGATACCAATTGTTAGACCCTAGAGGGGGGGGGTGATTAGGGTCTTATGCTAATCTAATCCGATTAAATGCCAATTAGATGATCTCCTCAAGCTCTTGTGGAAGTGATTCACAAAACTAAAACACTCAAATGCTTAAAAGCTTATAAACACACTTAAACCAAACATAAACCCTTGATTAAAACTTTCTTAAACTTGTTTTAAAACTCTCTTGGTTAGGTGGAGAGCTGAAGGCAATGGGGTATTTATACCCTCTCAAAACTTCAGCAAAACCCCAGCCAAAAAGACAAAAACAGCCCCAATAAACAGCTCAGGAAATAGCCGTTAGAAGTCCAACGGATCTATTGTCGGTCGACCGAAAATTCCGTCGGTCGACCGATGGAAAAATTCGGTCGACCGGCAGAGAGCAAAAGCACGAAGAAGAGTTCTGGACCTTCGTCGGTCGACCGGTGCGGTCGACCGATGGAGTTTTTCGGTCGACCGGACCGGTCGACCGACAGACTCTCTGTCGCCCAGTGAGAATATGAACTCATGTTCGGTCGACCGAAATCTGACATATTCAAAAACTGTTTTGCTGATTTTAAAACGCTGTTTAAAAATATCAAATAAATTCAGAAAAATGTAAAACTTTGGGGAATGATTGTAGACATGATAATACACATGCTACAAAAACTGGTTTTCTAAAAAGACTTCCCAAATGAGAAATACCATCATTTTACAAAATAGTCCAAAACATGAAAATGTAAACATATGAATCTTGACATTTTAGCTTAACCATGTTTTGAAACATTACAAAATGATTTTGTAGACTTAATAAAAGATGTATATGATTATTGTTAAGTCTATAAACCAAGAAAACAATATTTTCACAAATACAATAGAAAGTAAAACGTATGAGTATGTATATGAAAATATATTTGTTTCATATCTATGAAATTAAACCAAAACAACTTATCCACATAGAAAACAAGCATGTATACACATTTTTTGGAATTTATTTGTAAAAACTTTGTTTGTGGATAACTAAAAACCAAGATGTATATGTATATAACTATATATATATATATATATATATATATATATATATATATATACTAAGAAACTAATAAATGTGTGTGTGAATATAATATTGAGCTTAGAGTATATAACACACATAATATAAACCTATACTAAATATACCCAAGCTTGATCTTGATCTTCATTGAAGCTCAACTTGGTACACATGCGGATGAAGCTTGAACTAGATCTTTAACTTTGAATTTGCAAGGCTTCACCGACATTCCGCCAACCTCCATTTGATATCGTCGTTATGGCGCAATCCATCCATCCTCCAACTACGTTGTTTGTCTACAATACATAGGAATGCACAAACACTAGACAAACAACATTAGTAGTAAATTGTTTGTAAATCATCATCAAAATAAGAAGGCCAACAGTCTATGTAGTAGATCATGGGTTATGCCTAATTTGGACCTGGAATGGCATGTCCTTTTGGAGGCTTAATGCTTGTTTACCCAACCTTGTATCAACAACTGAAAGCAAACTTAAAGTTCTATATATGCGACTCCAGTCAGTCACTCTTCTCTCACATGGATGTATTGTTTAGAATTTTAGTTTTTGTCTTTGATTAAGCTTTAAACCTAGGGCTAAAATGGGAATAAGTTTCTACTATTGAGGCTGAAACAGGGTCTGGCAGAGTATTGGTGTCAATGTAGGTATCCTATTTGATTTATGTGGTCTTGTATTTGGAAGTTTACAGGCTGGTGGAGTGACCAAGCAGAACCTGGTAACTGAGTTGATCTCATTTTAGAATATGTCCATGGTTTGGAAACACCTTAGAATCATAATACTATGGGATGCTTGTGGGGTGGTTGTGAGGTGGCATCTCACTTGTTTGATTGTACTTTGTACTGCAACAGTAAATTATTTGTATCATTCTTCTAGTTATACTCTTCACTTATATGAGCCCTCTGTTAATTTTTCTCTTGTTGATAACGTAGGAGGATATAATCTGATATTTCAAGCTTATTCTGTTCTTTTGATGCATGTGAAGTTGTGAACACTTGACATTCTTTGTTGAATTCCCAATTATATTCCGTACCAGTGACTAATCTGTTCATAAAATTATTTGCTGATTCAGATTACAAGAGCATACAAGGCAAAGGAACATGCAGAGATTGAGTTTATAGTAAGTGTATTACCTTTAGAATTTTAGTGTAAATATTAGCAGTTACTTCTGTATGCAGAAGATTAGTGGCTGTATTATTGTTTTCCTTGTAAATTTAACCTGAATGATTATGTGATGAAATATTTTAATAACTAAGAGGTTAAATTTAGGTTGGGCCTATCCCCATTGATGATGGTATTGGGAAAGAAGTAGCGACACAGATTACAACAACCATGATAACAAACAAGACGTTCTACACAGATTCCAGCGGACGTGATTTTCTTAAAAGGGTATGCTCCATGAGTTATGTCTTTTTGTTTTAAGTGTTAATATTGCTTGGTACCATTACTGGTTCACAACCCAGTAGCTTAAACTTTTTTGTTAAAAGCAATTACCTGGAAAATTTGTCTGTATATTTTATCTTCTAGTGATCTTCATATCATAAATTGTCTTCTGAAATGCTTAGGTTATCACTAATGCCCTTTGAACTAAAAATGTCTTCAGTCGATTTTGGCGATCAGTACAGGAGAGAGAGAAGGAGGGGGGGGGGTGGCGTTGCTGGACCCTGGATATTCAAAAATCGTGCAACTCCATTTAATTTATTTGAGATAATGGAACATGATTAGCTTACTGAGAATTTTTTTTTCTTTTCAATCTCGTACTAAAGCTAAACTATGCCCTAGATGGCAACCAATAAAAATGATAATTCGTTAATCTTATAGGAAACTACACAAGTTGTTCCTTCACGTTCTTGTTATATGTTTTTATCTGTTATTTAATGTACACTATGTCAAACCATACTATTTCTTGTGTTAGTTTCAATCTCATCCAATGTGTGAAGGTTTTCCTGTTGCGACATGGGGAATAGATAACCCTCAGGGGATAAACAAACCTCTTGATGAATTCTTAAAAAACACATTGTCAAAGGATCCTGCCACATTGTCAAAGGACCCTCCCATTACACCAAAACTCTGAAGTTATGGTGAGGGTTGAGGGATATAATTTTATATTCTAGCATGTCCCCTAGGTTTAGAGTCCTTTTATGGCTGAAAGCTAGACTCACAGAGTGGTATTTTTTTCCACTTTTAAAATTTTTGGCTAGTTGAATTCAAATCTGGGTTCAAACTTGGGTTGCTCTAACACCATACCAAAGGCGCCTGCCCTTACACCAAAACTCCATGGTTGTATTGAGGGTTGAGGGATATAATTTTATATTCTAATTATATTCTAACACACATCAATATAGCAGAAACATAATTTCTCTCATATTCAGTTACTCTAACTTGAAGAAATTTACTTGTGTGGTGATTAATGAGGGTAGACATCTGCAGTAGCTCACATCCTCAAGATCTAGATGTGGTTTCTTCATCTACGAATTCAATGATATATAGGTCCAAATAGGGTTATGCATTTAGTATTCACTTTTGTAGTTTACGTAGAGCACATACCTAATTATACTGAATAGTGGACCAACGTCTTCAATCTTAAAGAAAGGAAGGAGGATAATGATGTTTTATTAAAATGGATGAGAGATCTTATGATATACTGGAGCCACATACCGAGCACACTAGCCAAGTGAACAATTAATCAAAATACTCGGCAGCAATAAAACCCACATTAGAGGCTTCACATTCTTCTATTTTCCCGGTCAGTAGTCCATTTAGTGGGCAGGAGTAATCTTTATCTTTAAATTATTGATCAAGTAATTGAAGTGCCATCAATAGTGTTCTTTTTTCTTAGGGGAATATCAAATGTCTGGTCAATCATAGACTTGTACATCTTTAGTTAGTCGAATCATCAAAATATTTGGATTTTCTGTTGCATTTCTTTATGTTTTGAGTTATCTATTAGAGTTATCTATTTTATTTTGATATCTTCCACCTCATAATAAATGTTTGCTCCGTGTTTAACTATAGCTTTATGTTTAACTATAGCTTTATGTTTAACTATAGCTTTGAACCCTGTATTTGCTGTACCATTTGTAGATTCGGAATTATAGATCTGACTGGGACTTGCAAGTGAACCAACCAGTTGCTGGGAACTATTACCCTGTAAGTTCTTTTTTACATAGATTACTTGAGCAGATAGTCTGAACGAAAGATGCACATGACTAGGATTTTATGCTTATGTTGTTCGCTATGGCAGATGAAAATTGTCAGTAAACTTATGCTTTTAATTTTTATTATCTTAGCATAACCTAGAGAAGTTTATATGAAAAAGTAACAAAAATAGTTTATTTCAGATTAATCTTGGAATTTACATCCAAGATGATAGCAAAGAACTCTCAATTTTAGTGGATCGTTCTGTTGGGGGCTCCAGCATTGTAGATGGGCAGATAGAACTGATGCTACACAGGTATATTATTCTTTAAATGTTTGATCCATTCCGCAAAATTAGTTTCAGTTTTTGGTCTAAAACCATATCATTTTTTCCTCCAATTGTATAGGAGGTTGCTTCATGATGATGGCCGAGGTGTTGCTGAGGCACTTAATGAAACAGTCTGTGCAAATGATGCATGTGAAGGATTAACAGTAAGCTGTTTTTCTTCAGATCTCATTAAGGAAAAAAATTACTCGGATGCTTGTATATGGATTCGACCCTTTATGCAACATGTAAAAACAGAAGTCATTGAATTTGACTCCATTGGAGAACATTTCTACCTAGAACCTAGTCTTCATGTTTTCAAATGCAGAGCGTTAGTTTTTTTTCCCACCTTTTTTCCCTTCTGAATTCTCCTACCTGAGATATAAACCTTTATTGAGTCCTCTGCTTAGTAGTTGAGTAATATGTTCAATTGAGATAAAATTCAATTCCTTTCTATTTTTCAATGTATAAGTATGATCGAAATTAAAATCTTGATACTTTTATTATATTTCTTGTTTTCTGAGAGCATATTATGTTTCTTGTTGCAATCTATCTGTATCATTACAACTACAACACTTTGGGAGAGGTTTTTGCAATTGCATTAAATTGGAAATATGTTCTTCTCAAAGCCTTACTTCTCAAAGAGATATGTAAATTCTCTAAGTCACTAACTGCATCGAAGATGTTTACATGTTTTAGTTTACTTCTGAAAAACATATCAAATTTCTGTAAGTTACTAATTGCCGTGGAGGATGTTTAAATGTTTTAGTTTGGAAACTGTGACAATTGCTTGAGAATAGTCATATCATTTGGAATGTTCTAATTTTACTCTTCTTCGATGCCATTAAACTTATTTATTTGAGAAAATATGAGGGTTTTTTTTACAGTGTGCATACATACAAATTTAATGCTTGATTAGTCATATTGGCTGGTTTATACTATTATCTAGTACATAGAAAGATATATTACAAAGATCAGAACAATTTTTTCCTGTATTCCCCTCATATGTTACAGTATTCTGATGTTTTAAAGAGAAATATTAGCAAACTGGGAAAATTTTCTTGTACTTCAATTGTACGCATGGTTCTATTCTGGACAAGAGTGTCAGAGACGAAATAGTTTTCTGTGTAAATTATAATGGAGGTGTTGTCACTTGTCAATGTCATGTAATGTTACTACCTCTTGCAAAAAGATTTGTGTCAATTATAATGGAGCTGTTGACAATCTTCAAGTAATGTTAAGGGTGATACCTCTTGTAAAAAGAATACTGGAAAAGGCCAGTAGAAAGACTTGTCCTGTTGAAATGTGATAGATTTCCAACTGTATATGCACTTTAGGTTCTAATTTATTCGCAGTTTTATTGCTTGTCAGATTAATGCAGCTTTTATCAGCAATGCTTTCATCGTCTATAAGAAAAATCTTGTTATAAGTTATGCTGGAAAAGGCCAGTAGAAAGGCTTGTCTTGTTGAAATGTGATAGATTTCCAACCACAAATGCACTTTAGGATCTAATTGATTTGCAGTTTTATTGCTTGTCGGATTAATTCATCTTTTATCAGCAATGTTTTCATCTTAGTGTATAGGAAAAATCTTGTTTTAAGTTGTATCAAACTTAGTTATGATAAGAAATTAGCTGCGGGCATGGCAGTACTCATGCAGTTGGTATTTTTTGACAGGCTCAAGGAAAATTTTATCTTAGAATTGATCCAATAGGAGAGGGAGCTAAGTGGCGTCGGTCGTATGGTCAGGAGATATATTCTCCTCTTCTTGTTGCATTCTCAGAACAGGCAAGCTCCTGGCTAGTTATTAGCCTTTCTGATCCATTATCCTCATATTTATCTCAATTTTCAGGATGGAGATAACTGGGTCAATTCTCATGTCGGAAATTTTTCTGCCATGGCTCCTTCCTATAGCTTGCCAGATAATGTTGCCTTGCTCACTCTCCAGGTATGCAACTCGTTTAAAATGCAGTATCCACTATTGATGGCATACTACACTAAGTTAAGGAGAACACATTGAAAAATTCTAATGCATCCTCTGTTGTCCTTTAGTCAGGAAGTCCATGCTTGTAGCTGATAAAAAATTACTGCATGGTATTCAGTATTGATATCAGGAATAAGAACTTGACCATTGGAGAAATTCATTTTCGATATAATTCAATGATTTTGTATGATATCGGTCCACAACAGAATGAAACCTTCTCGATATCAATATGGTTTCATAATGTTTATTGTGTTTTTCTGTTTTCATGTAATCACACATTCCTCCCAACAAAAATAATATTGGTAGTTGTAACATTGAAGTAAGCAAACTTTTTTAACCAAGCACCAAACGTATTTTCCTAAATTTTTCCTTATTGTTTCCATCTTTATGGTAAGTGTAACTTTTTTCAGGCTCTTGAAGATGGCACAGCTCTTCTACGGTTGGCACACCTTTATGAGGTACCTCCTTTCTTCTTTGCCCTGTAAATTGGGCTAGTTTCTATAATTACAATTATTTTTTTGTTTTTGTTTTCAAACAATCTCATGATTCTTTCTTCCCTAATTATTTTCCTGTCAATATTGAAAGGTTGGGGAAGATAAGGATCTGTCAACGATGGCTAGTGTAGAACTTAAAAAGGTTTTCCCCGGCAAAAAGGTATTACAATTACGTCAAGCTGAACTGGTGTTTTTTTTTTAAAAAATACATATATAGCTCTTCTGATCATTTTTTTTTCTTGTTAATTTCTGACATCTCAGATTAGTAAGATAACTGAAATGAATTTGTCCGCCAACCAAGATAGAACAGAGATGGAAAAGAAGAGGCTAAAATGGAAGGTAGAAGGCTCGCAGAATGCAGAATCCATTCGTAGAGGTGCGCCTGTTGATCCTTCAAGGTTAGTCGTGGAGCTCGGACCCATGGAAATCCGTACCTTTGTTATTAGCTTTGATTACATAATGCTTCAAGTGGATGGACCGTAATATGTTCGTAAACATCCGACTTGTATGTTTATTTTCCAAGTCCCTTCGAGCCTTTAATAAAAGTTTTAACCTTTTTTATGGGGGTCCTGATAAAACATTCAAGTATTGCTTAACGTTGCCATACGCATTTACACAGTTATTTTATTGCTCGGTGGTAATGTAAAGTGGGTATGGGCGGTCTCAGGTTTCTTAGAGCATCTCCAACAACTTCTCTAAATTTTTTTTCAAAATGGGGAAGCAAAAGTCATATTCTTCAAATTATTTTTACACCAACTCCAACAGCTTCCTCATTTTGAAGAATTTATTTTTTCCTCCAAAAATTTGGAGAATGCTACAGATTTGGGGAAGTTTTCCCATTTTTTCTTCTCCATCCCTATTTTGGGGAATGAGATGGGGAATCTGTTGGACCAAAAACCTAACTATATTCTTCAAAAGTGGGAAATGGGGAAGCTGTTGGAGATGCTCTGTGTGACGAAAAGAGAAAAAAAGGAAGAAAGAGTACGCTGCTAGCTTTGCTAACTGAAGAAGTATTATGCGGAGACGGTAGAATTTACGGTCGTAATGCATTAATCCCATTTACCTACAGGAACGACCAAAAGGTGACTCTGCATGCTTCTGAAAGAGAATTTAGAGCCCATCGAGGCTGAAAAATATGTAATTTGTTCTCTTTTAACTAACAAATTCCGAGTAGATAATATACCGAGGTCACTTGGAGATGACCGCGACCGATGCAGAATTTATGTGAAAAGATTAAAAGTAAACAGTGTCCTACAAGCACAAAAGTTACCCATGAAACCTCGATGGAGAAATGTTGAAAGTTGGAAGGGGTGTTTCTGATATTTTGACTATTATGGGGGTTATTTGACAATCGTGTAAAGTTAAAGAGGATTCTTGAAATTTATGTCTCACTTGTGGGAATTGGTGGAAATGAGGTGCTTATTCCTACTTCTCATTCATACTAACAAAACACATGGCTTTAGAAGTTAGAATGCTCATTCTCACTTCTCATTCATAACCATATTCGGTGACCATATTCGGTGAGAATATGCATTCTCATTGAGTTAGTAGGAAACAACATTCCGATCTAAGTGAAAATGGGAAAAAATAACAATAAAATTTGTATCAAATATATCTCGATTGTTAGTTAATTGCTCACACAAAAGTTAAAAAAATTTCTATTCCCAAATTGTTCTCTAAGGGGCCGTTTCTTTTGTTGATTAACCTCGATGATGTAATGGATTCTGAAAGCCCCATAACCATAAATAAAATCGGTTTGCTTATGATGGATATTAAAGAAGATTTATATAAGAGGTTAAATCTAATCAATTTTATGTTTGGTTGTACATAAATGTTATTGAGGATATGTGACTAAGGGCTGTTTGTTTCTTTGTATTTTGTGGGTTTTACACTAAAAAGTGAAACCCACAAGCTTAAAATCCTAGCTTATTATCAAACATGCTTGCTATTTTTCACGTCTCGAATTTGAGGTTGACACATAGGATAGATGCATCTATTGTGAACCCTAAAATTAAGCTGATTTCACTTGGATTTGTGATCCTAGTCACATATCCTTAACAAAATACATGTGCAACCAAAAAATATTTCATTGGATTTTATCTCTTATGCAAATATAATTTAACATCCATTGCAAAACAAACATGATTTTGATTATGGATTTTCTAGATACATGATATGCATCAAAAACAATCCATGAACCAAAGAGTCCCTAAATTAAAAAAATCTGATTGAAATCTGCATAATCTTATGCTTTTAATCTTCGTGGCAACCCTAAATCCGTGTATTTAAAAAAAATATAGTTGCTAAAAATCCATAATTTTTAACTTGTGGGTCCTATTCTTTAAATGCAATAATGCGAAATGCATGGAAACAAACATCCCCTAAAGGGGTTGTTTCTTTCCATGTATTTATCAACTTTGCGTTATAAGAAAGTGATCCTAAAAGTTAAAAATCATTGTGTTTTAGTAATTACATTGTTTGTTTGACTTTTTTAATAGTTGGGATTTGGGGTTACCACGTAGCATAGATGTACCAAATGTAATTTTTCTAACTTTATGCTAATTTCAATTGGATTTGTGATTTTCCAAGAATGTTGAGCCGGGCCCAGATATGTAATTAGTTAAACAATGTATCTTGGAGGAAATTTTTATTAAAGATTTATTTTTTGTTGCAGTTTTAGTCATATATCTGTTACTTTGAATCGGTCTTCAGTGACCAAATCAACGTTCGTTTCTCAGTTGAGAAGAACGTGGAAACATGAGATAGTTAAGAGAATATCTCTCAAGGGGTGGATCTGAAGGGGGTGGAGATAGTGGGGTTAGCCCCTATAAAAGGAGGGTTGATCTCCTTTAGAAAATACAACGAAGAAAAGAAAACCTCTTACCCATTACCGGAGCCCCCCTTCAAAGATATCATCTTTTCTCTTCTCTGTATTCGATCACTGGTATCAGAGATCAAGGTTCTTCATCATCTTGGAATCCTGCTATTTTTCAGCAAAGAAAACTCTCTCTCCAACTCCTTGAAGAAGAAGCTCTCGGTTGAAGAAGAAGATTTCAGTTGAAGAAGTAGAAGAAGAAGCTAGCCAGTTGAAAAAGAAAAAGGAGCTCACCCTATATCCTTCAGTTAAAAGATAGCCTTCTCTCTCCCTTTATTTTTCGGTTTTACTCTTTCTTCATAGGCTAGCTGCAAGCCTATATCCACAAGCTTAAAGCTAAGCCTACAACCGGCGGCTAGCAAGCTAGCAACCTAGCATTTTTTTATATCACATCCAGCTAGCAAGCTAGCATTTTTTTTTTGTCCTATACAATAAAGCCTACCCTATTCCTTCTTGTCCTACTCCAAGCCTACAAAAGTCCTATCTTCAAGTTTTTTTTTTCCATCAAAATTCGTGAGCCCTCCTATTAATACATCTGCATTAACATATTTTGGGCTTTCTTTTTGGGCTTTTTGAGTGTTGTGTTTGTTTGCTGGTCCGACTGTTTCAAGTTGATCATCTCCAATCCAGTCAGAAACGACGTCGAAACTTCGACAACAGATTCTTCGGTCAACACCGCTAAGTGACGACCTCGCTTTAATTGGAGCTTCGTTTCTCAACTTACAAAAATCAGGTTCATTTTAATTTATTTAATTAATTTTATCTAACTTTATTATATTTGTCAAAATATCAAATTGAATTTAGTTTTAGTTCTCTACCGAATGGCTAGTAAACTCGTTCTATCAGAACTAGGCAAAATTGATAAATTTAATGGCAGTAATTATGATATGTGGCATAGAAAAATAGGATATGCTCTTATTCATGACAACATTGATGATATAATCGAAACCACTGCTCCAACCCTTACTGATAAATCTACACCTGAAGAAAAGAAAGGGTTTGAACAGTGGAAGTCGAAAGATAAAAAGGCGAAAAGTCTTATGCTCATGTTCATGGAAGATAACTTAATCAAAGTTTTTGAAACTTATAAGACTTCCATTGACATGTGGAATGCAATAAAAGAAAAATACGACACTGCTTCTGAAGTTAACATTCAACTCCTCTTGCATAAGTATATTCTTGTCGTATGCAAGAGGGAGACAATGTCGTAGAGCATATAAATAAAATAATTGTCATGGCTAAGGACTTATCCACTGCTGGGACTGAAATCCCGGAAAGAATGCAAGTGGCAACCATTTTGAATAGTCTTCCCCCTTCACTTGTTGTGGCTGCCACCACATTGAGAATGAATCATGCCATTAAGTCTGTCACTGATCTTCCTATGTACCTAGCGATAGAACAGGACTTAGAGCTGAATTATGTCCGTCAGAGGTATAATACTGGAAGCTATAAAAACCCTGGTCCTAATAAACCACAACCGCGAGGACCGAAGTCACAGCAGTTCAAGAAAAAGAAAGTGCCCCGTGGAGCCTGCTACAATTGTGGGGAAATTTAGGCATTTCAAGCCAAATTGCCCACAAGGTGAAAAGCAGGAGAATAAAAGAGGCTATAAGCATCCAGAACAAGGGGGTACTAGTAAAAGAGAATTCGTCGGTGTGACGGAATGCAATGCTGTGATGACGGATATCAGCGGTTGGTGGATCGACTCCGGTGCAACTAGACATATTGCAAAGGACAAGAATGGAGTCATAGAATTCACCGAGCTGAAGAAAGGAGAACAGAGAATTTATATGGGAAATAATACCTATCTCGATGTAGAAGGTATTGGTTCGTATAGATTGGATCTTGGGGGACAGCATTCTTGTCCTCAAAGATGTGTTCTATGCGCCAGGAATTCGACGCAATCTGATCTCTGTTCCCAGCTTGATGAAGAAAGGACTGGAAGTTAGGTTCTATAATAATAGGGTTTCTATAGGCAAGACTAATAAAGTGTATGCTATGGGAAAATATGTGCCCGAGCATGAATTATGTATTCTTCCAGTAGTTTGTAATAATTCTGATAATGAAATTTCGAATTTGAACTACTTGTCCTGTTATATTTCTGAATCTGAATTGTGGCATTCTAGACTAGGACATGTTAGTATTTCAAAAATGAAAGAAATTATCAGAATGAACTTGCTTCATGCACTATCTAATGTTCAGTTGCCACCATGTGAATATTGTTTAACTGGTAAAATGACTAGAAAACCTTTTATTGGCGGACATAGAGCCAATGAACTTTTAGGGTTGATACACTCGGATATTTGTGGTCCCCTAAGTGTCAAAACTCATAGTAATAAAGAATATTTTATTATTTTCATAGATGATTATTCCAAGTTTGCACACGTCTATCTTATATCCAGAAAATTAGAAGCTTTTGATTGCTTTAAGAGATAAAAGACAGAAGTTGAAAATCAACTTGGATTGAAAATCAAAATTTTGAGAACTGATAGAGGTGGAGAATATAATTCTAAAGAATTTGAAAGTTATCGTATTCAGCATGGAATTAAAAGGCATACAACAATGCCGTATACGCCACAACAAAATGGTGTTGTTGAAAGAAAGAACAGAACATTATTAAATGTAGTTAGATGCATGTTGTCTCATTCTGGTCTCTCTAAAAACTTTTGGGGAGAAGCATTGTTAACTGCAAACTACATTTTGAATAGATTTCCCACCAAATCAGTTATATCTACACCTTATGAATTATGGAATGGGAGGAAACATAATTTGAGTCATCTCAGGAAGTGGGGATCTATAGCCCATGTTCTCATTCCATGTCAACTTAGAGATAAGTTGGATTTTAAAACAATAAAGTGTAGATTCATAGGGTATTCAGAAAAGTCAAAATGTTATAAGTTCTACAATAAAGAAAAAGGAGTCATTGAAAGCAGAGATGCTACATTTCTAGAGAATCTAGAGGAAGAGGAACAAGTTCAAGAGGAAACGGAACCTCTAACTGTAATAGATGATGATTATTACAGTGTTGTTCCCACTAATGACCCTGATATTGTGAATGAACCTAATCTTGAAAATGATGAAATACCTATGGAAAATAATGTACCTAATCAACCGATTGTAGGCAACAAAAGGGCAAGAACACAACCTTCATGGATGGATGATTACTATTTGTATTCATGTGAGTCATCCTGTTTTTTGGTAGATACAAATATAGAAGAACAAGATCCCTGAACCTTTTCTGATGTGATGAAATCGCATGAATCAGCTTTGTGGCTAGAATCTATGAAAGAAGAACTTGATTCTATAGAAAAGAATAAGGTATGGGAATTATGTGATCTACCAGAAAATAGAAAAGCCATAGGATGCAAATGGGTACTCAAAAAGAAATATCATGTTGATGGATCTATTGATAAATTCAAAGCACGGTTAGTTGCCAAAGGTTATAACCATAAGGCAGGAATAGATTTTAAGGAGACGTATTCTCCTGTAGCTAAATTTGCATCCATTAGAATTATTTTGGCTATTGTTGCATATCTTGATTTGGAGTTGTTCCAAATGGATGTTAAAACTGCATTCCTTAACAGAGAGTTGAAGGAAGCAATATATATGCAACAACCTGAAGGTTTTCAGGTGAAAGAACAGGAACATAAAGTTTACAAATTAATGAAATCTCTATATGGTTTAAAACAGTCTTCTAGACAATGGTATCTCAAATTTCATGATGCAGTTACTAAACTTGGTTTTATTCAAAATAAATTAGATAATTGTGTATATGTCTTGAAAAGTGGGAGCAAGTTTACTATATTATCCTTATATGTGGATGATATATTGCTCGCTGGAAATGACATAGAAATGTTGAATAAAACCAAGGCAGATCTCAGCGAAAAGTTTGAGATGAAAGACATGGGAGATGCATCATATATTCTTGGAATTCAAATAATTCGAGATAGAAAGTCTAGAATGCTAAGTTTAAACCAAGAAAAATATTTAAGATCAGTTCTTAAAAGGTTTGGAATGGAGAATTCCAATCCGGCACCAACTCCGTTGGTTATGGGAAAGAGATTATGTAAAGAGCAAAGCCCTGGAGAGGGGCAGAAGCCATTAGATGTTCCTTATGCTCAAGCAATTGGAAGCTTGATGTATGCAATGTTGTGCACCAGACCTGATATAGCTTATGCTGTGAGTCTAGTCAGTAGATATCAAAGTAATCCAGGACCAGCACATTGGGAAGCTGTTAAAAGGATTATGAAGTATATCAGAGGTACATTGACTCATAGATTAGTTTATCAAGCTGATTCGCTTGAACTCCTCGGTTATTCCGATGCTGATTTCGGAGGTGATAAAGATGATGGAAAGTCCACTTCGGGACACTTATTTATCGTTGGAGGAGGAGCTGTTTCTTAGAGTAGCAAGAAACAAGGGTGTGTTACTAGATATACGCAAGAAGCTGAATATATAACTTACAGTATGGCAACTACACATGCTGTCTGGATAAGACGGTTTTTGATTAATCTTGATCTTAATTTGTTAAAAGATCCTATTGATATTTATTGTGATAATCAAGCAGCAATTAGCTTAATCAATAGTGGCGCGAATAGCTCCAAAGAAAAACATATTGAGATACATTATCACTATATTCGAGATATTGTAGAAAAGGGAGAAGTCAAAGTGACTTATATTCCTACTACAGATATGATCGCTGATCCTTTAACAAAAGGAATACCAGCAGAATCTTTTATCAAACATGTAAGTATGATGGGACTTAGGAATAAATAAGTCTAAGTAAAATTTCATGAATAATGAAATAAGAGTTACTCTCTACGGATAGTGGAAGTAATAATAAGCAGAAACATCCGATCTCCCGAATAGTGGGAGGCATGTCACTTGGTTGATTTGGTCAAGTGGGAGATGTTACTTTGAATCGGTCTTCAGTGACCAAATCAACGTTCGTTTCTCAGTTGAGAAGAACGTGGAAACGTGAGGTAGTTAAGAGAATATCTCTCAAGGGGCGGATCTGAAGGGGGTGGAGATAGTGGGGTTAGCCCCTATAAAAGGAGGGTTGATCTCCTTTAGAAAATACAACGAAGAAAAGAAAACCTCTTACTCATTACCGGAGCCCCCCTTCAAAGATATCATCTTTTCTCTTCTCTGTATTCGATCAATATCCTCAACGAAATCTTATGCAAACCAAACAAAGTTTGGTTAGATTTTATTTGTCATGTAAATCCTTTTTAACATCCACTGCAAACAAATAAGATTTTGAGTATGGATTTTTTGAATTCCCGTACATGAATCAAGATGCAATCCAAGAACCAAAGAAACCTTAATCGCACGTGAACATAAGAAAGAAAATGAATGTTTTATTTCCGCACAAATTCCATTCTATTTTTTACTTCATCCCACTCTTATTTAATCTGATTTCCTCATACCATACCAGACATTAGCCTTCTAAAAATGCCAACTCAAGGATGTTAAACATTAATAAAATAGTTCGGCTAATAAAAATGCTTCCTAAGGTATGAATGAGGTGGGCTATGTGCAATTTATCCCAAAATTCAAATGGAGTTCAAACCACATGAGAGTATGAGAACTCAACTAAACTTTGTTTGGATGGGGGTTTAACGAGAGGTAGATAGAGGAAGATAAATCGATTCACATTGTTTGTGAGCTTCCTTTGAAGGGAATGAGTGAAAATAGATGCGATAAAGTTTACATCCGTTGACACCCATTCTATATAATTTGGTTCCCCTCCAAATTAGGGTATAGAGAAAGTAAAATATTTTGGACCATCATGATACAAATCTAACAGCTAAAAATTAATTACCCTCCATTCTCTTTACTAAACTCTGAGGTATGATTATTAAATTTTCTTTCCCAATCATTTTCTTTTCTTTACCTTGTTTTGCCTTCCCTTCTTTTCCCTTCCTCTCTGCTCGTAAACTTTTCCCAAACGTAACATAAATTCTGGAAAAATAATTATAATTGAAAGGGTCTACTTCGGTGGGAAAAGAAACCCCCATTTATTGACGTGCCAAAGGCTGAGAGCGTAAACAGAAGAAACAAAGGAAAGCGCTTCTCTCGACGCGGACGAAGTCACGACTCCACTGCTTAAAATCTGAAGAGAGAGAAAGACCAACCCGATCCCTTTGCAGTTCGCCAATTGATCAAAAGAATCGCCTACGGTTTTCAAACCGAATTGAGAAGAAAAAGAAAGAAAGAAAGGAAGGAGATCGATCGGCGCTCTGAGATCGAAAGAGGAAGAAATGAAGAGAGTTTTTGGTGCGAAGAAGAACAAGGAGCCCCCTCCAACGATCCAGGATGCCACTGATAGGGTATTTCTCTCTCCTGATTTGCTTTATTTTTCCCGCTTAAATGAGTGGGTTTTGCTGGATCTGCTAGATTTTGGGTGAATTAGGATCAAAATTAGGGTTTCTTATGTGGAGTTATGGTGGCAGTTGACTTGAGATGCTAATATATATTAATTTGGCGGTTGATTCAGGTGTAGGTGAAGGATTTAGATGGTTAGGTATTAGGAGTTTTGCGAGTGATTGCTAATGTTTTAAAGACGCTAGTTTGGCCTGTTTGGATTTGTAGGGGGTGAAGGGGGAAACTAAGCGTGTGTTTGGGAGTTTTTGAAGGGGAATTTTTCCCCTTCCTTCCCTTCCCCTCCATTACACCCCAATTTGGGGTGTAAGAATTTGGGCCAAATTTCCCCTCCATTCCCCTCCTCTACCCTACAAAACGAAACTCCCAAACAAGGTTAAAATGAAATTTCCCTTCCCTTCCCCCTCTCTACCCTCCATCCAAACAGGCCATAAGTGAAGGGAAGGGAAGGGAAGGGAAGGGAGTTACCTTCCCCTTGGTTACACCCCAATTTGGGGTAATAATTTTTATACTATTAGGGGGTGAACCAAGGGGAACTAGGGTGAATTAACTTCACCTTCTAAGTGTTCCGGGGGTGAACCAAGGGGAACTAGGGTGAATTAACTTCACCTTCTAAGTGTTCCCAAACAAGGTGAATGGAGGTGAATGGTTCCCCTAACTTCCCTTCACCCTCATTCCCCTCAATCCAAACAAGCCCTTTTAAGGAAAAGTATGTGAACAATAGAGTATAAAAGAACAAAACCGAGGTCAAGTGAGAGGCTTGCTTGCTTTTTACAACTTATGCTGAGGGGAAAGTGGATGTCAGAGAGAAACAGAGGAAAAGGATACACATTAAGTTGTCCATACTTAATTTTCTATCTCCTCGAATAAAACCTATCGAATATTATTGACAAAAGGACTCAAAATTTATACCCTTTTCCATATATTGCACTGAGAGCATTTCTTGCATACAACTCACCCTTGACTTGGATCTCCTTTTACAACCTAGATATGCCCCAGTATTCTACCTTGTGACGTGGGAAGTTTGCATCGGGATATGCCTTTCCTGAAGTTATGTTGGATTCCTACGATGTTCAAGTGCTTATCTGTCGAACTTAATTGTCATATAGTTGTGATGGTGGTGGTGTTTACATGATGGTTACATGATTATTTTGAATTTGACACTAATTTGAGTATTTAGGCTGTATCACATGTCAGTGAAATGATACAGATTTTGTATCTTAAAACCATTATGAGTAGCTAGACAACAGTATCCAGTGAAATGTGAGAAGAGTCAAAGTGAAGAAGAAGACAACTCAAATTTACTAAAATAGGTGTTGTATAGGATAGTTTGAGAGAGGATGATCGCAATCGTGATTGCAGAAGTTTGGGGTCACTGGAATTGAGAATGACCTAGTTTGAGATGTTATTTGAGATTAAAGGGTGTACTATGTTCTTAAAGCCTAATGGAATTGGCCTAATTCTAGAATATCAAATTATTTTGCATCCAAACAGTGCGATTGGCCCAATTTTAGTAATTGGAAATCAAATAGGGGTTTCCAAACAGGCCATAAAATAGATTTTGTATAGGATCCACAAATGTGGAGCCTTAAATCTGATTTTTTCATTGAAAATACTATTAATCTCTATAAATAAATAGAGGCTTATAAAAGGGTAATGTTTGTCAGACAATTATATAGAGAATAAAATATTTAACTTTAGTCGAGTGAGAATATTACCTTCTGTTTAGAATTTCTACTGAGCAAAGTAGAAGAAATATGAGAGAGAAGAATTACAAACTCTATTCATTTATCTTTCTCACTTTTTTAGTCCATTTCAGCCTTATGTGAACTATTAGATAATAGAAACTTCGGCAGACTTACAGACATAAAATTCTCTTTTATCTTGTTTCCCCCCTTTTACATTTATTTATTTCCCCCCCTACTCTCTTCCTCCTCTAATTAAACATATCCTTGCCACTTAAGAAGTGAGTAATCAGTTTTCAAAGTACATGATTAGCAAGATGATATATCATTCAATAGCTTAGAGTCTAAATAAACTATTAAACTTTAAAATTTAACTCATCATTTCCATCATTTTAGGCACCAGTTAGTTCAACCACTAGAAGTGCAGGGATATTTTCGAGTGCCACAGCATTTCAAAGCACCCTATCATGATCCTGTACTTGTTCTTTGTAATTTTTGCGTATCCTTCTGTATGTGCATGATTTATTTGCATATTACTTGGTCATATCTAGATGTGTCTTAATTTTCTATGGATATGGATGTTTTCCACATGAAGTCAAGCAAGAATGTTTCTTGGAAACACAAAAGAAACAATGTGGATAGTATCAAATACCTTAAAGGTTTTGCATCTGTCAATATTACAGTTTTCAATCATTAGAAGACATCAGAGTTCAGCCACTGGAATGCAGCATTTTCTCGTTCTATTGCCAAACACTATACAGAAAGCACCCTGTCATGATTCTGACATGTTCTTATATTTTTAATTTTTGTTTTTGTAGACACTACTCACAGATGTATGTGTATATTCGATATATACTTTTAGCTGTATATGCATATGCATGTTGTGTATTATGTGCATGCATATATTAGACAGTGATTCTACTTTTTCTGTTTCATCCCTTAGGTTATATTATTGTTTAGAATTATGTTGGTGCTATATGTTTTTTCCCGTTTATATATCTTTGTTTACCGCTTATTATGTATATGTATTACTCTACATATTCATACGTGCATGTGTATCTATGTGCATGCTTTTGTTAGAGAATGATTCTGTTTCATGTATGGGATTACCTTATGGTTTACAATCATCTTGGTGATACTTGTTTTCAATATACTCAAAATGATTTCAGATAAATAAAAGAGGTGATACGGTGGATGAGAAGATTAAAAAACTTGACGCTGAGCTGGCTAGGTACAGAGAGCAAATAAAGAAGACTAGACCAGGTCCTGCTCAGGAGGCTGTTAAAGCTCGAGCTATGCGAGTTCTGAAGCAAAAGAAGATGTAAGTTACTGTATTACTCCCATTCTTTTGTTGCTAGACCTATTTTTCTTTGATCATTTGCAAAGTGTGCTTTCAACAAGTATGCATGTTTGTCTATCCATGAAATTGATACGAGTTAAGTCTGTTTTTCATTGAATCATTATTTCCGATATCCAATCTGTGTGTGCAATATATTAATACTCTTCGGGTATTGTCCGAGCATTTATTGTTTGTATCTGGACACCCCTCTACAACTATCATACTGTGCAGCATCCAACAGAGAATATTTCTTTGTCATCCATTTGTTCATAACTTGAAATTGGTTATTCACCTTTATTAGAACCTTCTAATTGTCAGTCTTAATAATATGGCAGATTAAACTGTGACCTGTCATGAATACTATAGTTTATTATGTATCTCTTATCACACATACATCTTATTTTAACCATCACCGTGAACAATTTGGCCTTTGTTACTGGTTCAGAGTCATAGATGAACACATATATGTCTGTTTTGTTTCAGTTGTTTGTGTGATGATTCATGGACAGAGGGAACCCTTTCATGCTTAATTTGTTACTTACTGGAGGCCTTAGATGGGTTTTATGACTGCTTTGAAGACCATCTCTGAAGTTTGAACATGAACAGCTACAATAACCAGCCTTATTGCTTATGTATAAAAGTGGAAAACGCCCATAGTTGCATGAAACCCACATCATTCCAATTCACAGGATGAGTATAGGAGCGTGGTATACTGGTATGCGACTCATTTGGGATTTGGTATGAGGGGGGTAGGTTTATATGGTACACCAGGGAATGTGGTCCGTTTTAGATTCACTTCCTATATGTAGGAATAGGAGGTTTTGCATATTGCAAGAGTCAAATTTAAGAAATATGCTAGTTGATATCAGCAACGGTAAAATAACCTTGAGAATCATGTTGCAATTAAGGTATCCATAATTTATTTTCTTAAGTTCTCTCATTTTTTTGTTTATACTTATTCTTTTCAAAAGATTTTTTTTTTGCCCCTCAAAATTTAGCTGGTTTGAAAGTCGTTGGAGTTGGTGAATTGGGCCTTGTTTCACCATGAGTACATGCCGATTGAACCCGGGCTGTGGTTTGCTGTATCATCCCATGTTCTCAACTTCTGTGGAGACACCTATTCTTCCTTTCCCTTCTAGCGTTTCTTTTTTGTCTTCTTTTCAGGACAGAACCGAGTGTACTAACTATACCTCTTTTTTGTGTATGTGTGGAGAAGTAAAATGGAGATTGTTTGTCATTGGGTTCTTAATTGGAAGAGAAGTTGGGATGGGTAAGTGAAGCGGATAATGGGTATCTTGTAGTGATATTAGGTTTAGTTGGCGAAGTAACAGGATTTGGATGAGGTGTACTGAACTAAGGATTTATTGCTTGAAGTTGTAATGTGTGCTAGGTCAAAGAAATATTTTTCTTTAAAGAGGCCTCTGCTAAATTGTCTAGTCTGAATGATGAGCTCAAATCAGATATTCTATTTGATTGGATCTGAGCATGTCTACTTTTATTTTCAAGAAATCTGGCTCAATAAAATTCAAGTGTACTCCTTCAAATTTACAGGGACTGGACTTTAGGGGACCAAACATTAATGTTTTATTTAGGCTGAATATGTCAATTCTCCTTCTATTAACTTCCAATAAACCTCAACTGTTATGGATAACAGGGCAAGCTATCAATGGTAGATAATAGGATTAGACAGTGTGTGCCATTACGTTTTGTGATGTTTAATCCCTAATTTGTGTAGGTGAATAGCAAGAGAAGACATGAATACGGTGAGAAATCTGCAGATATTTCAAGTCTCCTGGAAGCTGTTCTGCAGCCTTTAAATTACTCTTTCTATCATCTTTCCTCCTTCTTGTATTTCCTGTTGTGCACTGGTTACACAGGCTATTTGTTGTAGTCTTCTTGTCCATCTTTTTCATTAGTGGATATAAATGCCAATAGGATGAGCCTTTTATGAAGACTGAGTACCTGAAATGTATCCAAAGGTTGGTGACAAACAGAACATAGACGGAACATGGAGAGAGATTTTACTAGGACGAGCCTTTTATGAAGACTTGAGTACCTGAAATGTATCCAAAAGTTGGTGACAAACAGAAGATAGATGGAACATGGAGAGATTTAAGGATGATAATTATAAAGGTCTGTGGCATAAGCATTTGTAATTATATGGAAATGGATTTCATAGACTGGAATCACTTAACGTTTCATTGAGAATAAAAGAACTACAATTTTTAGAGGGAAATATTGTGTTAGAACTTTTCCAAACGTTGCAGGAGCATACAAAAATTTGAAATTAGAAACAAGTTGGTGGTGAATTGTTATTAAAAGTAAAAGTTTTAGTTTTTGACAGCTAATAAAGATGATCCCAGCAGTTTGGAAATTAATTCTTTGAGGAATTTATGTGGAAAGGACTAGGTGAACAAGGACAAAATAGGAAAAGAAGGTAAAATCTCTCTCTCTAATTGTCAGTTTCTTAATTCCCATGTTCATAATTTCGTACTTAAGTTACCTACCTCTACGTGTCAGCTAACTGAACCTCTCCTGGAGAAAACAGAGTTCTATTAGAAAAGAACCTAACTCTTTGGACACAATGCTAGTTCCAAGTTATTCTGGTGGGTTCCTTTGTAGTGGTGATAGCTTGGGGATCTTTTTTGATGTTTTTCTGTTTTGTTTCTCATTGTTTTTGTTTTTTGGCTATTTCTAATTGATGTCAGCCTATAAATTGACAAATATGTTGATTTTAAGTCTCTNGATCACGTCACGGTCTATAAATAAATATAAGCCTTCATCATGTTCAATTATGTAATATTTCTTAGCAAATAATAGCTAATATTGTTTTCTATAAAGTTTTTATAGACTATAAGGAAGGCTCAGGAATAGCAGTTGAATGCCAACTCTTTTTGTAAAACAAAAAGGATATGGTGATTTTGTAAAACAAAAAGGCTCAGGAATAGCTATAAACTAATTCTTAGCTTCTTATGAAGTAGCCGCAGAAAACATATTGAAATGTAGTTAGTATCTGTTGAAGCTGCAAAATCCTTAAAAAAGCATAATTTTGAAGTTTTCGAAGTTATACTTCATATAAGGGTTTATGTATTTGTGACATGAAGGTCACAAGTTCAAGGCATGTTATAGCAAACATCATTAGAGAAACTTCGCCCTCCATTGGGATGTCTTGGAAGAGCCCGCCTATATTCCCAAAATTGGGGAAAAAATTATAAAAGGGCTATTTTTGAAAGATGGTCCTAGTTCCTGACATCTTTACTTTGCAAGAATTTTTTAGTTGCATAAAATATATTTGGCACTCATCTAACTTGAACTATTTATCTTCTTCATGAGATTGAATATCTGTTTTGGTTAAAGAGATAATTCTTACAGTTACTTTCTACTGGTCTGTATATAATTTTGGTTTCTGCCTATTCATGATATTTCACTTGACATCTTCTCCTAGCTGATGCTTAGCTAGGTTCAGGTCTGAGAATGGCTTATGTTAACTTTTGCTATTTTACGAGGTTAACTTTACGTTGAGCCGTTCTTTACGTATGGTTACATGTTTTTTTTATAACAGTCTGCTTAAGATTTATGAAAAAAAGAAGCAACAAAATTGGATTTATTTATATGTAAAAAAAATGTAATGGATAAGTGTACTTATTTTTATTGCTCATGTGTACTTCGATAGATCTGCTTAGAAATTTGGATGATTTGTATATTATTCACTTCCATTATGTTGTTTCCTTGTGTACTATCTACATGCCTATCTCAGGTATGAAGGACAGCGTGATATGCTGTACAATCAGACATTCAACTTGGACCAAGTTGCCTTTGCTGCTGAGGGCATCAAAGATGCTCAACAAACTGTAAGTTTTATAAACTTTCGCGAAAGTTTTGAGGCAATGAAGAAGATTTACATTATTTTTTCACTCACTAGTTAGATCTTGTCTTTTTTAGGTGTCCGCATTGAAGTCAGCAAACAAGGAATTGAAAGGGATGATGAAGACTGTGAAGATTGAAGATATAGATGTATGCTTGAGCTTCTTGCTTGTTACTATTATCTTAGTGAACCCAGTCTTGGTAGTTTCAAAGATGATTATCTGAATATCTTTTGCCTTTGTTTTTTTGGGTGCATAGAGCATGCAAGATGAGATGATGGATCTGATGGATGTTAGCTCAGAAATTCAAGAATCCCTTGGTAGAAGCTACAATATTCCTGATGACATAGATGAGGACGATCTTATGGGTGGTAAGCTGAATTTTACTTACCCTGGAGTATTATTTTCAGATATAACCATGCATTTTATGGGCACTTTAATTCTGGATAGGAAATCGTGGTTCTTTGTTGTTACCGTGGTTTATCTTACCGTGTTGCTGCTTGTGTACGTTAATGCAGAGCTTGATGCTCTAGAAGCTGACATGGGTGCAGAGACTGAATCAGATGCCATGCCTTCATATCTGCAACCAGATACGGATCTGGATGCAGAACTCAATTTGCCTGCAGCTCCAACAGGGAATGCAGTGCAAAACAGGCCAAATGCTCAGGTATTCCTATGGCCATCTTAATTACAAAATAAATTAGGTTGCATTCAAGTGTTTTATGCTAAATATGAGTATCTGGAAAGTTTCCTCTACACTTACTGCTGTAAAAAGGATTTTAGTACTTGCTAATTATTTTGTTATGGGAATTGATCGTAGTCCTTAAAACTTTTAAGCATACAAGCCACTAACATAAGCACCACCTAAACCTTCTGTACTTTTGAAGTTTTTGTAGAGAAGATAACCATCTGTAAAATCTAAAATGTTGTGCAAAGTAAATATGACGCCTTTTAAGGTTATTACTGAAGCTATGTGCTATTCCATAAGCCGAAGTCAAATCCTGAAAACATGAGAAGAAACCCCTGCTGATAAAAATTTTTTTGCATCTTTTTCGAAGCGTAGTTTTATTAGTGCAATTTGGAGAAGCATGATATTTACTGAAATATTTTTTGTCGCAGGCTGAGGATGAATTTGGTTTACCAGCTGTGCCCAGAGCCTCTTTACGGGGTTAAGAGCAAGCGGCAGCTAGTAATGAGGTTGATGTTAATACATTCTTTTATCTGTTGTGATATAGCTCCTTGTATCCCCGCTGGATGGACAATGGCAATATCAGGCTGCTCGTCTGTGAACATGTTTTTATCTGTTCCCAAAGCTAAACTGTCATTAATGTGAGGGCATATTATTATAACCGTTTTTATGGCTTCCCGTTCCAATGTAAGCTTGTCCGCATGGTGCTCATCTTGTATGTTTATTTTGTGATTCTTAGCTTGTACAGTGTTATTATGGTGCTCGCGATTACATTAAATTTGAAAGAGACTAATCTTCCGTATCGCAATAGTTTCACTTGGGGCATTTGGTGTGGCTTGTCTGCGGTATAATGGGCATCACTGATTGCCTGTGCGATCGCTTGTTGCAGGGCGGTCCAATAATCTGGCAGCAGAACTGTTTGTTAAACAGATTAATGTTTGCCAGTTAAACCTCAATATTGCGTCAACTACTGAAACTAAGCCAGTAGAAGCTGAAGAGTGGTCTGTTGTAGCTTTATAGAAGTTGCTATCATCTTGCTGAGCGTAGTAGCTGAACTAGAAATAAAAAATTTTGATACTAAGTTGTCTGCTTTAATGGTATTGTTGCTATACGGCTATCCTTTTTCTCGGAGAACTAAGGGTTAGCGATGCCGGGGTTATGCGGGATCAGGATCAAGTAACCTGTTCTGTTTCCAAGTTGACGTCTATAACATGCTTATGAATAACGTGTTTCTTTGGCGATTGCATTCCTTGTGGTCAACGGGTGATCGTCTACCTTATTTGGCATTTCATTTTGTTGATGGCAGACTTGGGGGACTAAGGGGCTGTTTGGTTCCGGTTTTTGGTTTTTGGAAGGGGAAAGAAGGGGAAAGCTGCCAAAATGTCAGTTTTTTGGCAGCTTTCCCCCAAAATCGCCTCTATAAAAGGCGATTTTGGAGGAAAGTTGCCAAAAAACTGATATTTTTGACAACTTTCCTCCCTTTTATCGATCCAAGGGCTTTTCCCAAAATAAAGTGGTGGTTACATGCATTAATCTCTAAAAATTATGGGTGTTTTCTTGAAAGTAACCCTCAAAAATTACAAACCACCACTTAAAAAGATACTCATGATCACGCAGGGAATAAATAAATCCTAAAATTCTATTAGGATTTTTCTCAAATTAAAATAGTAGGGGTCATCTGTACCGCCACCCAAGTTCAAGCGTATTTTTTGAAATTAACCCCAACAAATTACAAGGGTTAATTTTGGGAACCCCTGAATTATGGGAGTTATTTTAGAAAACTCCTCCCTTCAACTATTCTAATTTTAGGAAACCCCCTTCCCTTTTAGAGATATTGTAGATAACCATCCCCAACTTTTAAAAATTAACATAATCCCCTCAACTAAGAGGTGCCTCAGAAAACTCCACATTATATTTATAGTTTATGAAAATACCTCTAGATGTTAAATTAAAACGTGCAATGACTGAAACACCCTTAGATTACAAAACCTGTTAGAGTTTAAAAAAAAATACTAAAGTATAATACTCAACCAGTGGAACAATCCCCACCCAAACCTGATCTTTCTATCTACAACTTCGTCTCATTGTTCGAAGACCCTAATTGCAAGTTCTTTTAATTGAAATCATGAGTAGGTACAAAAAGATAAGTTTGAAGCTTCAAAAAAGAAAATATAGTTTTAGACCTAGCAATCACGCTAGAGGAAGGGGGAGTGAGTTATTTTTTAACCGAAAAATTAAGAAGGAATACAATGGTAACTTTTTAATATCGTAGGGGTAGTATAGTATAATCATTTTGAATCACATGTACGACACTTGTTCCGTCAGATCTAATGTTGTTAGGGTAGATGGTTAAGTGAGAAAAGTTGAGAGAGGCTATGTCAAAATTTGAAAGTTAAAGAAGATTATCTACAATACCCAAAAATTAAGGAGTTTCCTAAAGTTAAAATAGTTGAGAGGGGGTTTATTAGACAACCCCGTAGCTCGAAGGGGTTTCATAAAATTAATCCAAAGTACAAAGCACCACATATGGGGTGCTCACGGTCACGTAAAGGAGTAAATAAACCGCAAATATTTTTATTCCACCAAACTCGCATGCTCGTGGGGCAAGCGACTTACTAGTAATTTACTAATTTATGATATTGTTCTAATGAATGACTGTATAATAGAGAGGGCACAAATGTCAGTTCATAAAATCTTCGTCCTTAAAATCCCCAATTAGCCCCAAATTTTCATCTCTGCATACGGCCACGTTCGATCAATCGCCGAAGAACCTCAGATCCCTTTTCTCTTCAACTGTGAGTCTAAATCTCTCCACTCCTTAGTTATTCCTATGTTTTATTGAGGATTATTGATAGTATTTCATTTTATTTTGATGCGTAAGCGTTAGATTCTGAGTACTTTAATCTTCCTAGGTTTAACTTTTTTGGAATCTCGTGTGATGGGTCTAGAATTTTGATATCCATCTTAGTGATTTTTTTCATTATTAGTTTTGCTATCAAAGGTGAAATATTGGTAGATAGTGATTGAATTCTTAGAAAGAAAGGAGGATGTTGAGTTCACGAAGGATTTGGATCTGCAGTATTTTTGGGTCTCGATAGCTTGTTTATTTGGGAAGTAAAATTATGGCTTTTACGATGATAGATCTTATGATGTGGCGCAACTTAGCCATTGTTGCGATGCTATATGATTTTTTTACTTGGTTTGAAGAGATAAATCAGGTCTTTGATAGATAAAGTCTAATGTATAGATGGTGAATATGAAAAATATCACTGTAAATGAAAAGGGAAGAAGACTTTGACAATAAGATGAGATCATCATATGTGAGGGCTCTTACAAAAATTGTAATGTTAATGAAAATGACAATGTTAGAGTGCCAGATTATAACCCTTCACTCTAATAATAAGTTCGATGTCTTGGTGTAGTGGACCGGGACTTTTGACATGGTGTTAGAGCAATTGACTTTAGGTGTAGTGGAATGGGACTTTTGACATGATATCACAAATTTAAAGCAGAATAAAGGAACATATTTTTGTATGAGTTTAGGTTTGAATCCATGAAAATGGCTTTTGCAACCCTCGCAATGACGTCTTTCGGTTGTAGTGGAACATACCTTTAAGAACAAACTATGTTCCAATCCCATGGCCAACACATTTGAAAACAGAAGTAAAAAGATAATGCTATGTGAGTCCAGATTTCAATAAAATGACTTAACCTGCGGGGACATGTTAGAATATGAACTATAACCCTCAACCCTCATCATAACTTTGGAGTTTTGTTCTAATGAAAGAGACTTTTGACAAGTAAAAAATGAAAGATCTTTACTCTTCGTTGTTTTAAAAAGCCTGTGCTTAGTTCGCCTAGGTGTACGGCTAGGCCTAGGCGGTACATAAGCCGCCTAACTAGCACCTAGCACCGAGGTGGTACTTAGGTTATCCACCTAGGTTTTGGGAGTATTTAGGAGAGAATTGTCTACTTACGTGGACTGCACTCTTTAAGCGTTGATCGTGATTTTCTATGTTGTAGCCTCCACGTCCTTCAACATCCTTCAAATCTCCAAATATGAATACCTCCACTACCGCCTTTGACCTTCAACAAAACCTTCTCGACCACCACTTAAACGAAGAAAGAAATCCGTCTAGACGCCAGTCCGACACCTAAGCTTTCTGTAACATTAACATTTACTATCAATTATTGTAATTCAAAATTAAAAAAAAAGAAAACTTCGTAAGCTCTAGATGGCGAGTCCAACGCCCTCGTAGCACTTTCTATATCCTTGTTAGTCATTATTTTGGCTATTTAGCATTTAAGTATGTATGATTTATTGTGGATCTAAGATTACTATCTATTTTTTTTTACAAATTTATATGAATTTAACACATATTTTTATCAATTATTATAATTAACTAATTTAAAAAATAGCTAAACACTTTGGCGCTGCCCAGGCGTACGCTTAGGCGTTTAGGTGCTAGGCGCTGGCTTAAAGGCCTAGTCCGCCTGGTGCATTCTATAACATTGTTACTCTTAAATCTTTGTATTTGGTTGACTCTTTTATTTGAATAAACACAATAATTTTTTCTCTATTATTTACAATATCATGTATAATGCTCTTACGTTAGACCTTGGAATGGAACAAAGTAATCATTAGTAGTTTCTTATTTGCTCTTCAAATTAGAAAGATTTCCATCTCCTTTAGGTATTCTTTTGTTCTGTGAGAGAAAGTACTAATAGCAAGTTGTACATGGATAAGTTCTATAAAAGTATTTTAGTCAATCTAATTATTAATTGTTAGTACGGCGCTTCCCTCCTCTCTGATTGCATGTCTTCTTAACTCTTTCTAAGCTTCATTAAATTTAACCTCGTGAATTGTGATTACTTTGGAAGCATATAAAATCTTCGTGTTGGATCATGCCTCAAAAATCTAGAGGTGTCTAAACTAACAATAAGACAATTATTGTTCTAATGAATGACATGTATAATGTATTTGTTTGGTGTGTTTTAAAGTTGACTTGTTTCTTAATCAAGAAGATGAATAGTTATTTTTAAGGTATGGTGGTGGTCCTTGATGTACTTATTGAATTTAGCATTTCATTCAATATTTTCATGGCTAACAATTATAATCTATACAGTTTTTTTCCTTGGGGGTTGAATTGAAAACTCTATTAGGTTATGATTCTTTTTATTATAGTCAAGTGTTTTCACAAACAGGTTAGAGAAGCTAGAGATGCTTTATTATGTTCTACTAGGAGGTGTGCCTGTAATAAAGCACTTGAATAATTCCTTGTGAGTTATGGCTAAAGTCAGTAAATAATTTCCTGTTATTTGAATTGCATATGAATCCTTTTATTGGGTGTCGGAAAGCAAATATGATCTAATGATTATTAGTTTCACTTCTTGTTTGGTTTTTCACTTATAAAATCAACTCATCTTCTATAACAACTTAACTTCTAAATGAGAATACGTACTAATAGTAAGTGATATAAGGATAAGATAATAAAGCAAAAAGCTAATGCTCGCTCCTTTGGTTTTGACTTCGAAAATTCTCCATCTCCTATAACAACTAAAATTTTCTTTGAGAAAATGTAATTGGAAGTTTTATAAGGATACGACAATAAGGAGAAAAGCTACTATATTAGTCAGTTTAATTGTGACGTTATACTTCTCCAGAGTCTTCTCTTGATGTTATGTCTTCTTAATTTTCTACCTGATTCATTAGTTATAAGTTATAAACTCTCTTATCAACTGATAATATAAACAACTAATTCATGTTCACAGAATGAAATTGCCAATCTATTTTGTTATAGAAATTGCTTTGCCTATTGCCTTATTATCTGCAAACATATACTGGCATACTAGTAGAATTTGGGTATCCTTGACGGGCATTGCACGTTTTCCTGTCTAAAATGTGTATTCTTGATGGGTTGCTGTCAAGAATACCCTATCGGTAAAAGTCCCGTCAAGGAAGAAACATTCTTGATGGCAGCCTGTCAAGGATGCATCCTTGATGGGAACAACATCCTTGATGACATTGCCGTCAGGGATGTTTATCCTTGACGGGTGGCCGTCAAGGATAAACAAGGATGTACATAATTTGAAAAAAATTTCTTGTGAATTAGGTTTTTTCCTGTATATACAACAAATATCCTATACATAAATATTTGAATAAAAAATATACTCAAAGACATCAACAAACACAATAATCTCATCATAATTGTCAAAACAAACCACATTACCCACTCAAGTCATCCATAAATCATACATACATATCTCTCATACAACCGAGCAATCACCACCACAAACAAGTCTAAGATGTATAAAATACTACTAATGGTGCAAATGCAAAGTATATATATCTCCCATACATGTCCAAGATACAAAATGATATAACTTACTAATTGTGGTCTTCCTCCTCATTTGTGTCCTCATCCCCCTTTTCATAGGAGGTTCTACTCGTACGAGTTGTGCTCCCCATAGCATCAACTGCACACTAACAACAAAATAATTCGTATAAGAATTACACAAAGTACATGTGCAACACTACTTATATGCACACTTGTCAACATAAAGGCTAGAAATTTGGTATTAACCATAAAGTCCATATATATATATATATATATCTATCAAAAAAAAAAAAAAAACAAAATTTAAAAAAAAAAAAAAAAAAAAAAAAATTAAAAAAAAAAAAAAAAAAAAAAAAAAAAAAAAAAAAAAAAAAAAAAAAAAAAAAAAAAAAAAAAAAAAAAAAAAAAAAAAAAAAAAAAAAAAAAAAAAAAAAAAAAAAAAAAAAAAAAAAAAAAAAAAAAAAAAAAAAAAAAAAACAAAAAAAAAAAAAAAAAAAAAAAAAAAAAAAAAAAAAAAAAAAAAAAAAAAAAAAAAAAAAAAGAAAAAAAAAAAAAAAAAAAAAAAAAAAAAAATTCTATCATATCTTACTATCTAATATATTATATATATATATATATATATTATATATATAATATATATATAATATACTATATATATATATATATATATATATATAATATATATATATATATATATACTCACGTACTGGCCAATCTGATCAAAGCACACCAAAAAATGATCATATCCCAACATAATTATTCATGATCTTATTTTAATTGGTTAGAATCCAAGAAAGTAAAGTGCATGAGGTATCAAGGGTTGTCTAACTTTGAATCAGTATATCAATTATCCGGTGAAAGTAAATCACTACATATATAGTTTTCATGCATGACAGTAAAGAGAGGGAGAGTAGATGCAACAGAAATCACTACTATTATACTTTGTTAAGGAAAAAAAAGAATAGCAGCAACATAGGATATTGAGATGGCAGTCAACTTGTCATGCACTGGTGGACAAGGGAACAACCCAACTTGAGTGTAAATTCATTATTGAAACTATTGAACTCTGGCATGCTTCTCATTATGATGATTCACTATCCAATCATTTTCATCCTAAACTGAAACTTTAAAAAAACTCACCAAGGCAATGCAATGGTCCAAGAGGATAGAATTCCTATTTCATTATATATACATTTGCATATTTCTCATGTTCGCGCTAATCTTAGAGTAAATAGTATACAGACAACCAGATGATCAGTTAACAGAATACATCTAGTTCCTCTCACATGCAATTAGAAACCACCACAAATTGTGAGTTAAAAAAAGAATGTGGTACTACTATAATGAAAGCTAAAATTGCATGACACAATAAATCACAGCACAAACTTTTCAAACAATGAACTATAATGGACAAAGCAAAATAAACATATACCTGTCCACTAGTATGTACGCTAGTT